CTTGTGAATGGATAGGGATCTGTGCATGCACATATAAAATACAAAAAGCCTGAAGGTATTATAAAAGGATCCAAGAAAAATATTTAGCAGACAGAAATTGTTAGGGAAAAAAGTTGTATGCTATGTCTAGCCATGTTATATTTATGATAAAGTAGCAGAAATGTGCCACGTGCAAGAGAAGATCTGGCTGAATGGTATTTTAATACATCACCTAAGCAGCAAGTTAGATTAAATAAGAGATGCTGCTAAATGACGATATGACCAAAGGAGACCATAAATGTCTGAAACAAGAATTACACCCACCCGTTGACTTCCTTAGCCAAGTTCATTTGGATTTAAGGAAAAAATAAAAATGGGTAAAGTAAAATAGCAGGAAACTGCTATAAACCTTGAGGGCAGGATAAGAAAGCACATCAGGAAGCAAAGAAGATAAGGCAGGCTTGTGAAAAAGGGCTAAAACACCATTCATGGGGGATTTCATGTATACTGACATTGACTGACATAGCAGTATTAGAATTGCTAAGGAAGGGTGCTTATTGCTGAAGGGTAGTGTATAGGACTGTCTTCTCCCTCAGTTTGTACAGAAAGCAAGATCAGAAGCTGTTCTGGATGTAGCCCTAGGAAGTAGATCTGGTATGATAAATAAGTTGGTGAATATCCTAGGTTTAGTGAAAATAATAACCTCAGATAGAATATATTTCACAGGTTATGTGAGAAAGTACAAAAACTGTGGGCTACAAAGTAGACAGAACTGCAAATAACACAAAACGACCTTCAAAAAGCTGGCTGAAATCTACAATTTTATCAAAACCTGTTGCAGAAATTAAGTTTTGTGGAAAGAGGAGGCATAGCCCAGTGGCAGGGCACTTACTGCAGGTTTGTGTCACAGAATATCCTTCTGACTTCAGCGAATTTGCCTCATCTCCCTGGGCCTCACCTTTCTGCCTGAACATTTAGAACGGCAGTACTGTGCTACAACTCAAAAATGACTGAGAAATATTCAATTCCTGCAGTAATATCTACACCTTGAAGAATGAGTGTGGTGACCTTTTAGGGACAGTGAAGTTATCCATCAGACATGGTGGGGAGAGGGGATTTGTGCAGAACAGGGAAATTGGAAGAACAGTACCATGTAGGAAAGAAAACATTAAAAGTAAAATATAAGATCTTTTAGAGCAGCATTAAGCGGAAAAACAAAAGAACAGCTCCTTACGCTTAGAAGCATCTGTGGAATAAAAGTGAAAAATGAGCTACAGTGTGTATGGGACAACCGGTGTGCGATGAAAAGTAATGAAGAAACTTCTGACTTTCAAAAAGGTAAAAGATATTAAACCTGTGGTGCATTCTACATATGACTTACTACAAATGAAGCAGTTGCTTAAGAGGTCAGAACACAGAGACAACCAACGAGGAACAAAAAAGTAGGTAACAGCCACACAACCACGAAAATATTCAAGACACTTAGAACTGGCAGACTATTTAGATAAGACTATATCCAACGGTGTAAGGGACAGTGAAAACATGAATGAAAGGGTCATGAACAGGACTTTTCCATGTTCACTAAGATCTGAGGAACCTGAAGAGAAGTGGGAAGCAAGATGATATTACTCTTAAAAAGCTTTGGGGATACCACAGTATCAGCTTCTTTGATGTGCATTCTGAGCAAGAAGGATGAAACTGGGAAATACAAAATCATGAGTTAGCTAGAGATGGATGAAATTGCTGGGAATATCCAAAACATTGAAAAAAAATCTTAAAATATTGATAAGTAAAGTTTCTTTTAAATAAAAAAAAGTTTGTAAAAAACTTGGGCACTTTGAAAGGTATTACAAATGTCTACTCTGCTAAGAAAGGTAGGGGTGGTGTTCTAAAAATCAGTGCTCGGAGATAATGAAATAGAAGCAGGAAATGACTTTTCTCTTAAATAAGCAAAGCTACAAAGAGAGCACAGCTGGAGTTCTTGCTAATGGAATTGATTTATATTATTTACCCTTCCCAAAATTTGTTTTTCAAATTCCATTTTTGCTGCAGAAAGAGAAAAAGGGAATACTGTTAAGAGTCAAGCATGCTTTTATTACAATCAGGCTATCCGAGCAGATAAAGTAGATTAGAAGAGGGCCAGGTTTGTTCACTGCATATACTGGTTGCCAACAACGAGGTGTTAAATACAAGTAATTGGACAATATAACGCTATCACTCTGCTTCTGGGTATATGATAATAATACAAATTAATAATCATAGTAATGGTAATAAAACCAGGAGCAGAGGAAAGAAAAAATACATAAACCTAATGTCTTGCACTTTTCTGAAGAACTAATCTGCAACAGGGTCAGTAACTAAACGAGAGCAAGAACTAGCGAACATCAACAGTCTAACAGGGGAATAGGGTAAAGTACAGCGGTTTAAGGACTACTGTTACCAGCAAGGACTAAGCTGAGGGGAGCCCACAACTCAGAGAAGTTGGGGGCACTCTCTGTATCATCTGTACTCAGCCCACTGTGCTTCTGCAGGGAGTTTGTAGGATGAGTATTCTTCTGGTGCACCCTAGCTCCAGGTCGCTGCTAAAAGGTGGACTTTCGCTTAAAATGGGATCAGAACATAAATTTTTATCCTCCATCAATCTATAACAATGACTTAGAGGAAGAGGGGCAGAATTAAAGAAATGCCATCTAAATATCCCAAGTCAGGAAGACATATTTTTGAGGAGATCTGATCTGGTGTACGACTACACTTATATGCACTTCTAGGCAAAATGATGCACTTCAGATATATAAACTGCCTGACTGTGTATACAAAATTAGAAGAGAGATATTTAGCATTTTTTAGTCCAGTTAAGTACTCCTATTGGTAACTGTGAAGGAGAAAAAATAACTAAGCATAAGATGATTCCAAATTTTTGCATCATAGTTTTACTTGTGGGATTGGTAGGATGTGTGTAAATTTTGTGAGGACAGTCTTGAAGACCACAGCATATAAGAATAAATATTTGAAATTATTTTACTAAGCAATTGATGCATCTTTTAACTATGTGCTATTGAAGATTATTATCTAAGATGCTAAAAAGAGATGAAACTGCAAGAAGTGGCAATTTCTTAGCCAAGTTCATTTGGATTTAAGGAAAAAATAAAAATGGGTAAAGTAAAATAGCAGGAAACTGCTGTAAACCTTGAGGGCAGGATAAGAAAGCATAAGATGATTCTAAAATGATCTTATGATCTCATAATAAAATGATCTCATTCATAAATGAACTTATTTTATGAAAAAAGTTCATTTATGCATTTTACTTGCAGCTTTCAATAGAGGGAATACTTTTCAAAATCCAACAAGAAGCATGAAGATTCCAAAATTTCTACCCTATTTAAAAGTTTTTCCTTATTGTTCCCTGAAAGATAGGTAAGGTTTGCCTTTGAAGCTTGTTATATTCCTGTCAGACTTCTTTTATGTTTGAATCTAGTAGAGCAGGAAGGTGTCAAAAGAAATGAAACTCTACTGGGTGTCTAGGGAATGTAAATATTTCTCTTTCTCTGCCCCAAGGACTTGTTTGCCCATATTTTGACAGTCCATGAAATCTTTGACACTGAGACCTGTCAAATATTAACAACTTTGCACTGTGCCAAACTGACTCATCATTTACACTTTTATCTCTTTTTTTTCAACTTTGATGTCGATCATTCAATCAAAAAATAAAATATTAATGAAAAAAAAAAATCAAGCCCCCGACCTGAAGAACTTTAAATGAGACTCTTTCTGACATATTTCTCACCTGCATGGCTTTTTCCTGTGTACTTTCTATATTAATAGATACTCTTGTCAGAAATCAAGATTAACACCCATCTGTTTCGTTACTACTGACCTGTTGCTGGATCATATTTTATGCAAACCAAGGGTATTGTTAAATCAGCATAATTAACTTGAAAAAGCCAAAGTAGGTCATTAACTGCCACTCAGATTTTTAACAACTTTTTTCAACTGTTTAATCATAGCTCTGAGGTCAGAAACCTTAGTTTATTGGAAAAAAATTAATTCCTTATATGCTTAAAGGTAATAAAGTGCACATATTACTATTTTTGATGTTCCAATTTTACTTGATACTCAGGATGGAAACCTACAATGTCCACATGGCAGAAGAACAATTTAGAGATTTATGTAAAAAATGAAAGCTTGATAACTTTTTCATTTTGTGAGAATCCTGCAGTATTTTGATAAATCTTATTTCCAAACCAACATTTTATGCATGTATAGTTAAACACATATGTATGTGTTTACAATATGTAATTTTTGCTTTTCTAACACACACAAGCTTGCAAACAGACAAAGGATAACCTACATCTTGATTTGACATGTCCCAGTAAGGCCGTTCTCCATAAGACATTACTTCCCACATAACTATTCCATAACTCCACACATCACTGGCTGATGTAAATTTGCGGTACTGGATGGCCTCTGGAGCTGTCCATCTCACTGGAATTTTTCCACCCTAAGAAAAAAAAAAAGAAAAGAAGAAAGTTTTCTTTTTTCTCTACAAAATTTCCATATCATCTTCCATAGGGTTCATCTATAATTATTTCTTCCAACATCAAAAACAGCACTTATATCATCAATTATAATTGACCAATTGCAGAATTTTCAGAAGAGTCTAAGGAAGTTTAGGCTCTTAAAATGCTTGTACCACAGAAACTTCAATACCTGTCTAAGCTAAGTCAGATGCTTTTCTCTGGAAGTGCTTATCTCTCCATTGATTTCAAGCGGCTGTTTAGATGTCTGATTTACACTAGTCATTTAACTCCTGGCTGGCTGAAACTAGGTGAGGAGAATCTCATTCTGTGCATATAAATCCCATTGACTTGTCATATAGCTCCTCTGAAATCTCAGTCTAACATTTTTAAAACAGGATCCCACTTAGAGCGCAGTGGCAGGAGTGACAGCCGTGAAAGCCAGTGTGCTTTCCTGGATCCCTGCACCTGTCAGAGCAGATTCCAGGGGCCCCTCCTTCCCTCAGCATGAGAAAATAGGTACAGTGAGGCCCCACAGGTGGGAAAGTGGAGCTGGCTCAACAAAAGAATAAATAGCATAGTGTGCCTGATGAATGCTTGTTTAAGAAAAGCATCCCACCCAAAATCGAGAGAAAATAGAGGAGCTAAATTTTGTCACAGTCTAGCCTCAAGCCAGTCAACTTTTTGGTGAGATAAAATCTAGTCTGGAAAATACTAATAGTCTACAAATATTTAAAATGACTCATAGTAAATGAGATCATTAATTTTTTTATGAGGAAAACTTCCATATTTGTTCAAACAGAAAATCATGGGGAAGGGAAGAATGAAGATACTGTGCAAGATTTTTAGAACTTTACTGAATAAAAATGTATATGCTTACAAAAATATCAATCCTTAATTAGAGCCAGATTTCTGCAGAAACTCTTTTCCTTTTGACTGGTTAACATTTCTCAAGCAATTAATGTACTCCTGCTCTCTATAGTCTCTAGAAGACATTCCTCTTAATTACCACATCTCAAAACTACTAAAACCCATCGATTTCTCTTACGGTAGTAGTGTAGACAGCCTCTGGATCATCTTCTATAACTCTGGAAAGGCCAAAGTCTGACACTTTACAAACAAGGTTGCTGTTGACAAGAATATTGCGTGCTGCAAGATCTCTGTGTACATATCCCATATCAGCCAAATATCTCATTCCAGCAGCAATTCCTCTCAACATTCCCACTAGTTGAATGACTGTAAATTGCCCATCATGTTTCTGGAGGGAAGAAAGGAGCAGCAATTCTTGTTAGTGTAGCTGAGAAGAGAAAGAAGAATTAGTTTTACAACTTCAGCGTTCTACTTATTTACTACTTCTGTGGCAATTCATCCTGGGGCAAAGAAACTCACTTCAAACACAAGTCTTATTTTCTTCAGAGATAAAGTAGTACATCCAGTTAAGAAGTGTGTGAGTAGTTAATGTACTAGAAGAAACAAAACTTGCAAATCATTATGAATTTCTGGCTAAGTCATGAAATGTCTCTTCTAAGAGATTACCTTATGCACAGCTCTTTATAGTTTGCCTCTATATTCTTCATCTCTCAGCACAATCATTTGTATCAAGAAAATAATAACTATCTCCTTTTGGAACCCTAGCCACTGATAATTTATTCGTAGCCTGGAGTTCATAAAACAAACATAACCTTTCTGTTCTCTATATGTGTTTATACATCATCTCACACCGTCTTGTACACCTGCTAAGGAGTCAAAACTGGCCATTTAAGCACACACACTCGAAAAAAAATGCTAAAGTTTTGTTAACTTGTATTTCTTTTTCTTTTGTTCTTCTCTTAAATATAACTATAGTTAATTTAGGGATTCTTGTATGCTGATTTGCACCATGCTGACACATTAAAATTCTGTTCCCAGAAGGTGGAAGATGGGTCTTCAAGCATCGATGATTTGAACTTCAGCTGGTGGCAATAATAAAATCCACTATGTCTATGCCAAATTAAAGCACTTAAATTCCTAGAATGTTTTTATCTGATCCTGCAATTTTTGACCTGATTTTGCTGAAATAACATAGAGAACTGCTAGCATTTGTCAAGCTCCATTTCAGCCTGAAAACCATTTTAATTATACGAAAATCATGTATGTATACATATATATGCACATACACAAAATCATATTTTTTAAAGTGACAATATGTAATATAATATATATGTAACTTAAAACATGTTTATATATGTTTTCTTTTTGGTACTCACCCTAAGAAATGCATCTAAGGCCCCATTCTCCATGTATTCTATTACAATCATGACTGGTTTCCCTGAAAGCAGACAGATTTTGTTTGAGAAACTGTAACACAAACGGAGTGCCTTTTTTGAGAAAACATATGTTGTTCCTTTGAAGGACTGAATCATTGAGACAATGAACATTTCTGAGGCCTCCAGCACTGTTATTGAGCTCTAACAAGTTCCTAAATGTCTGCATGGAATGTGGTCATGATTCACAAAATTAAACCATACAAATCAAAATGTCAGTGCGTTTGCCTAGCTCCTGCTGTGTGAACTGGACTCTGGAGTACTGACACTTCATATAATACGAAAGGACGTAAGAAACCCTATCTCTCTTCATGGTCTTTAAGGCTAAATGAAACTAGAAAAATAACATATTTCAAAGTACTTCATCCTCTAATCATGCGTGCATCTTAATTTTTTTCCTCAGGTTGTAGCATAAAGTAAGTATTGTTTTAGTTAGTTACGCATCAGGGGAAAACCAATTAGGAGTGTGTAGCCTGTTTGTAATTTGAATCTTTGACCATGAATAAGCTAAAGTAATTTCTGCCATTATGTTGTTATTTGACTGACAGTTTGAGCCACTGCTTACCTCTGGTAACAACCCCTTCTAAGTGAACAACGTTGGGGTGGTCAAACTGTCCCATGATGCTTGCTTCACACAGGAAATCTCTCCTTTGCTTTTCAGTGTAGCCAACTTTCAGAGTTTTTATGGCTACTGCAACATCTCTCTTGCCAGGAAGCTTTAGACGCCCACTGCACACTTCACCAAACTCTCCTAAAATTAAGCAGATCAATGCTGAATCACTCCAATTGTAGTATCAATATTCTTTTTAGGCCTTGATTCAACTAGCCACCTAAATGTGCGTTTAAATTTAACATGCAAATGTTCATATTTGAAATGGATTACTTAGGGACACAAAGACCGGCATGTGGTTTAAATGAATTGCTAAATACTTTATGGAGTAAACATTTCACTTTAAGCCAATTTACCGGACTGCTACTTGAACCTTTTAAAAGACTTGCTAGTAATTTGTTACATTATTTCATAAATAGAAAATAAATATGAAGTATCTTTCTTAAGAAAATATTATTACTGAACTACCATTTCTAAGCGAAAATGTCATGTCATTTCGCTCTGTCGGGTTGCCTTGCTATCTTTAGATCTGATGGGTTTTTTTCTTCCAAAAGGCAGCTCTTTCAGAGCTGCTTTAAATTTAACATCCTTATGGTGTTAAATGAAGCACTACATTATTACCTTCAAGCAGGATACTTTACTTCACAGATTATGAAATTAAAGGTGTGGCTTATAATAATTTTGCTACATTAAACAAACAAAAGCAAATGCTGCAAGTTTGTAAAAGCCTTCTAAACTAACAGACAATTGGAACTTGAAGATGCATGTGAAAAAAAATGGTCAAACAGCCAGCAAGAAGACCAAAAAAAAGCCTCAACAACCATAATTTGTGAAAGAAGTAGCTGGACTCCATTGGACAAGAAAGAGGATGGAAGCATGTGAAATACGGAGCTCAATGGCAAAATATCTACCTCACTGTTAATGAGATTATGAAAGATTTAAGGATTGTCCCTTGCCTCACAGCCATGTCAGCAGAGAGAGAGAGAGAGACCCCTCTTCTGTAGCAAGGATGAAAAGTCTCTTAGGATATGCAGAAGAAAAGGGTAGTAACCTATCTCACACTGAATAAAGGGGAATATCTCTTAAAAAAGAGAAAGATTCATGGTAAAAATACTTAATAATCTGGTAATTTGCAAATTTATCTGGAGTATGGGAGATATAGATCCAAGTCCCTCCTCCAAATCAAATCAAGTCTGAAATTTATCTGCTGCATACCTGTGGAGTGCCTTAACACTAAACTATTGAGTATACACAAATATGCAGACACACCTACATCCTAGACGTGTTTTGAGGTGACTGGTGAAAAAAACAATTGAATTAGTAAAGATTAACATAGAGTTTTATCAGAGAATCACTTTCGGACATAGACTGAGGTCCGGAGAAACCTGGTGGGATCAGGACTTAAGTGCGCATACACACTGGCAAACTGGCTGGCTGGCAGTGGAGAGAGGTATGCTTGGAAATGGGGCTGAATGCCTGAGGAAGTAGATGTTGAAATGTGCTAATGCGTGAGCTCTGAGAAATCTTCTCTAGGACACCGTCACTGTTCCAGCACTACTGTTCTCCTGACATCCTCAACAGCAGAGCTTAGAAAAGAAAAAAAGCAGTACCCTGGACTCAGCTTCACAGTTCTCCAGCCAGAATGGTAGAACTTTGACCGGACCTTAATGTTTCCAACTGACTTGTTTGGGCAAATCTCCACTCATCATGGCTTGTTTTACGAATCTCATAGGAGATGACTGAATACAGAGTGGAATTCCTCTCCCTCCCATGCTGTGCTAACTGAAATAAGGTTAGCTCCAACCAGCTCCATATACCTCTGTTAACAACATGCTGTACCTGAGCTACTTGGCCAGACAGAATACAACTGTTCCTGCCTGCACAGGTGAGGCATTATCCTCAAGCATTCTCAGGCACTGGAGTCGTGGTCTGAATATCCACATCATAGCCATGAATACCATGAGGCATAGCTGTTACTAACAACTAGCTGCTCACGCCCTTAGCTTGGTGCCTCAACCTCCCTCTTGCACTTCATTAGCAATATGGATGACTACTAGTGAATTAACCACTCACCTCACTCACAGTTCCTAGTCACAAGAACTTACGAAAGGATAACAATTATCTCTAGCAGTATCTTCCAAAATTGTTTTTGTTCCATGCCGAAAACAAGACATGAGTACAAGTGTGTGTGTGTGTGTCTATGTGATACTTCAGAGCCAGGTAATTAGGGTACTTGGCATGGGAGACACTAAGGCTTAACTCCTTTCCAGCTCTCTGTGATCTGACTTTGATTGATTTCCGAAAGCAGATCACTCACACTCAGGCAAACCAGAAACTTGAACTTGCATGTTATGCATTTCGGGCCAGGATGCTAGCCATTGAACTACTTTTATTCCCAAGAAAATAGTAGATTTGGCTGAAATGATGCCCAGAAATGATCCAGAAAAAATGACAAGAGTGGGAATACTGCACAGCCACACAGCCACTAGCTCAGCATGTCAACAAGGAAGAGGCTAAAACAAAGGATTTGTGGTACAAACAAGGACTCAACATAGTGGACACCATATTCTGTATCTGACAGGTGGCTGCAGCAGGATGATAATGAAAATGTTGGCAAGGAAAGCACATATCCCTCATGCAAACTGAGCACAAGCATACTTGCACCCTGTTTGTCTGAGAGAGAGATGGCACTACTCAATAGTTGATGTGGCCAGCATTGCTGATACATAATGAGACTGCCAAGGGGCTTTTCTGGTGCTGTCACTAGCAGAAATGCTATATTCTTCTTTGATGTATGAGTTTCAGCTGCTTCTTTGGATCTTTAACATTCTGTTGTTCCTGGACTGCATTTGCTTTCAGTCTTCTGTTGTCTACATCAACAGGTTAAAGCCATAGCTAAACCCCATACACAATATGCTTTCACCATGGCACTTCTAATTAACTTTCTTCAGAATGACTACTGACACAAGTTAGATTTTTTGCTATCAGTTATACTCATTAAAATCAAGAATATATTCATCTGCAGTCAACAAAATCAACATTCTCAAATTAGTCTGTCATAACTGTGAAAGCACAGTTTAAACTGTATGCTCTGCAACTGAAGTGTTTTCAGTATTTTGCTCAGAAGGCACTGGAAAAGTCCAGCTGAACACATCTTTGTGCTCTGAACTGCTGCTATATTGATAGTTTTTTAACTCAAAGAAAAAGACAAAGCTCAGTAATTTTTCTATGCTAATCTTGATTTTAAATCTTGTATATTGTGTATTTATTAGAAGAGATGCTGTCATTCTAGCATTACAAAAATTACTAGTTAGCAAGGGCTGGATTCTTGTGCTCTTACTCATTCGAAGGAATAACTTGCTCAGCAGTGTTGTTAATTTCAGTGGTACTACTCCTTGATTAAGACATGATTCAACATGAGTGAGGTTCCTCTAAAGAGGTATTGTGAATTCTAAGTTTAAAGATTTCTTTACAGGTAAACCAGACTGTTTTAGAGATATTTCTTCTCTTTTTAAATAATACCACAGTATGTAATTTATGGTGCATGCCAAAATACAGGGTGATTTTAAAAGTATTCTACTAATACTTTTATAAAACAACAGGAAAGCAAAAGAACATTTCCTCCAGGAATCCAAAGTATTTGATACTTTTCTTAGCCACGGAAACTTAATTTCAGTACATGGAGTAGTGCAATAAAAATGTCACATATCTTATTAATGCAAACAAATGAAACTGCCTTTTTAGAGCATGAACACCATGGCTTAAGTAGGTGGTAGACAGTTCAAGATGAAGAAAAGCAATGTAATGCTGGTGCAATTACAATCAGTCATGAGAAGTTAAACAATAACTTTTTGTATTCATAAAATATCAAAAAGAAAAATGGTAGAAGAAAAAACAGCCTTAGGGAAGAATTTGTTATACAGAAACAACACCTTGCTAGTCTGTATTTAAGACTTTGTGCTGCAGCCAGTTTTCCTTACTCACATGAACAAAAATTCAGAGGTCAAAAAGCCCTCTTGCAAAAGGAAAGAGAGCAGAATTCGCACTCATGCCTAATGCCTTTACTCTGTCAGTACATAATGGGCAGCAAAACTGCTCCCCTCCTCCCAACTACATTTTTAACAGCAGATACGGAATTAGAAACCCACAAGCTTTCAATGTCAAACAAGACTCTTCATTTACTTATTTATTTGATTTTTGATGGTTTTTTCCCCCGTTTGTTTTTACATTTTAGAAGCAAGTGCAGCTTCATTGCTCTTAACCACTCTGGCAAATGCAAAAAGTTCTTCTATACTTGAGGTATAATTATTTGCCTGTCATTATGATGTATGAGTTTCGATCTCGGCTAAATGGAACAGTTGAATCAGGAAGCCACGGCAGCCTTACCTGCACCAATCACACGCTCAATTTTAATACAAGAGGCATCTAGCTCCTTGGCGAATTGATGGACAGCTCTATTTGGGTCCTCGTAGGTTTCAGGGTCAATGTAGGTTTTGGTGCCTGGAAATTTAACTGTAATGATGTAAGAAAGCATGACTGTGATGAAGCAAAGGCACTTATTGTGCAGTCAGCCCAGGAATTTCATTATGCAGAATGCTTCTTGGAAGAGTGAACCTGCTTCCACACTGCCTGAGTCAGAGCCGCTCTGAGAGGTAACCTTAGTTTTAGGCATCATCTGCAAGCATGCTGACACAAGTACACAATCCCATCTCTAAAAATGACTAATATTAGCATCCACATCTCCACGTTGAAGTGAAAGAAGTAATAAATATTAAACAGTGTTCAATTGAATAAAATGCAAGGGTTGAATGGGAGTAAACATAAAGCGGGGGAAGTGGTGTAAGACCAGCAGAGGAGTTGAAACTTTGTTTTCTGTGCAAGAACAGCTTATCCTCATTTCCCAGGTTGCATAAACAGCATTTCTTGATATTATCTCTGTCTTCTAGTGGGGTTTGAAAGGGTCCTTCACCTACTTCAATTTGCTTAAACTACTGAATATAACATTATTTACAGATGGTGGCAACAGCCAAGCTAAGCTATTCACAGCACTTAGAATTTATATCCTTAGGTGTGATTCTTGTACTAGAATACAAACACAAGAAACACTTGTAGTGAACTTGCAAAGGCATAGGAAGGGAAAGTTGGCTCTGTGTCACAGCTTTTCTCTCTTTCAAGCACCTAAGTGAATAATATGCAGCAATTTGATTTTTGCTCCCTCTGTCTCTAGTATAGCACTTGGTGCAATTTAGGCACACGTGTATCCCCCCCCCCCCCCCCCCCCGTTTGCTGCTGACTCAGCATAATTATTTTTTGCTCTTTGGGTGATAGTAGAAACTTCTGGTGGAAGTAGAGAAATCCTGGAAATCTATTAATCAAACATTTTTTATGAAATAAATTAGGCTCACAAGGATTACAGTCTTGAGCTTTAATTAAATCAGTGAATTAAATCTCAATATGAAAATGCAAGAGTGTTCCTCTGCTAATTGATACACTGACATACAAGAATCAGATCAAAAGTCAATACAAAACATAAAAAATTTGTGGCTGCTTTGGACTCTTCTAATTGAACATAAAATATTTTAAATTTTAAAATATATAGAAAAATATCTTAGTAATCATGTGTATTTTTGTTTCAGATGGTATTACTGACCAAAAAAAAAACAAACCCTTGTAAGAAGGAGAAAGCTAGAGAAATTGTTTGAGTAATCTAATGAATTTATAATGGGAGAAATCATTTGAAATGTTGCCCAGATGTTCTTATCTGCTGTATTATGTATTTAAATAGATGTTCTTCCAATTGTATTGATAATGCTACAAATTTTTAAAATGATAAATAGTTATTTCTTAAAACCAAAAATTGCTAAAGAAAATGAGAAGAAAGTGATAGGTTAACCTCCTGTAATGGTGCTTTCAGGCAGGGAGATGGAGAAGGAGCCATCTTCTTGCGTTTGTGATAAGGGGCCTTGATTGAAGGTAACCTTTTGAATCTCAAGTGGGCCTCTGATGGTTCTTTATTCAAGCTGTCATAAAACATTTTGACAGGCCAAAACTATCCTGGCATACCAACGTGAAATAATGCTGGCCTGGATTTTAAGACATTGTCAGAAGAAAATAGCAGGAGGAAACCAAATATAAATCTGAATTGCTTGACTAACTCCTCCATTGTACTTGTAGCTTCAAGTGTAGCACTTGAGGTCACAGAGAGTTGAGGGGGGCTGAAATGAAATATATGATACTCTGTGAAATACAGTGTCTTAAAACCTGCTTTAAAGAAATGGTTACCTGTAAGTTTTTGTGTTAAGCAAGTGCTTGTTGTAAGTTACGTTTTTGAAAATCCAGTCTGGTACCTCAGCACAGAAGAAAGATGCCTAGAAGTTATGGAGCAAAAGGACACCAAACTGTTGTTCACAGCTCTGTGAAGCTGGTGACCACAGCACTGTGTTCTGTCTCATTCTGTCATGCTTATCAAATAAAATTAAACACTAAATCTTCAATCAACAGACAATAAAAAATTAGCTTGGCAAAAAGTGGCTTGCTTTTGGTGCTGTGATTTTAAAAAGACTGTGTATGCTAACTGTTCTGACCGATTTGCTGGATAATCAGATTTCTTGAAAGTAAAATGAGGGAAATGAATACTTATAAAGTCTCACCGTTTTTTGATCAACTATTAATCATTAAGTAGCAGCTTTCATATTTAGTCATTTACACTTTCACTGAAACAAAAAATGCCATCGAGAATGGAGACAATGAAAGGAATTATTTAGCTAGCATATTCCTTTGGTTTATATACTGACATACAAGAATACATAGACCTTTTCTTCCTAGGACATAATGGGGATTTTAAAAGTAAAAGCAGTAGCTCTTCTGAAGATGTGAAAAGCTTATAATGCATACATGAAAGGCAAATTTCAAATCCATCAGTCCCAGAATAGTAACATTTAAGTAACATCACATTTTTTATGAATTCTTTAAAATCAGCTGCACTGCAAAGTGCACGATAAATAATTCTTATCCCATTATTATTTTCCACATTTCTGGTGCATATTGTGAATTGATTGACTAAAGCTCCAATGATGTCACTACTTAGTTTAATACTCACTGCTTTTAAACAAAATGATTTAGGTAGCAACACACCCAAACTCAGGGAGCATGAACAAATTCCAGCTGATCTGATTTTTTTTCAGGGCAGAAAGGTGAAACAGAAACCTTGATCTGATTTTGAGTGGAGCTTTGGCTAAAACTACTTGTTTAAAGAGGCATGCATTGAGAAGATATTACAAACTTGTGACTAGTGGCTACTTCATTCTCCATGTGACATTATATTCTCATAAAATCTAATTCTTCTAATGTATGTAAACTAAGATAAACCGTATCACTTTCATTAAAAAAAAAAAATATCTGACGAATTTAAGCTGCATCTACAATTATTGATAGACAACAAAGGCTACATACATCACGGCGTGACTAAATGGCAAGTTCTACTGATATGGCAGTTCTTAGGTATGGGAGAAGACTGGAAATACAGGCATTGTTCTGTGTCAGAATTTATATTTAGTTTAGTTCCAGTATGTGATTTTACAATTTTGGATGCTCAAAATAATTTTGCAACTTAATTTTACCATACTTCCTCAGTTAATGACTGATTCTAAAAGAAATGAAAACATTTTTAATTTCTCTTATCCAAACGATATTACAACTGAAAAGAGAATGGTCTAAAATAAGAAAGTTTTTTAAACAATATTTTTATAAAACTGAAACTATTCTTACATAAGCCCTCCTCTTCTCTTAAACTTTCTATTGTCATTAACCCAAGAAAGATGTATTTTATTTAATTTCCCCGGGGTTCTAGCGTAAGTTCAGATGGTAGCTTTGATTTTAATGAGAGGCTTTAGGTGCTATTCTTTGCTAGGCAAGTGGTTCTAGAACAGAGAACAGTAATGAAGTAGCTGACCTTTCTTTTAATATTAAATATTCTATTTTTAAAGACATTATGTTTTGTAAATATTGATGCTACAGTATTCACAGTAGCAGAAAACGGCTGCTGAGCAGAACAGCTTCATTGTTAGGGTGATGCAGTGACCCACAGTTTCTTCATCTGAAGTTTGCCTGAGGTAAAGATTATATAGTCACCTAGTCAAAGGTCTTTCATATACTGCACCTCAGAGGGATCATCAGGACAGTGTGAAACATATATTCAAAGCAACTAAAAGAAAAAAAAGGCAGAACGAAAACAACAGTATACCATACACATGTATAGAAATAAAACCGCCTGTGTGAGCAATATTGACTTGAATCTGCATTCTTTTTGCGTAGGTCACATTTTTACAGTGTTTAACTTCCCACTTGCTATTTACAGAGCATTTTTTAATTTCTTGTGGCTTCGTCTTTCATGAAGTTGGGAATTTTTGAAAGGGGGGAAAAAAGCAAAACACTTACAATGAAAGTAAAGTTCTTCATCCCCTTCTTGATCGGCTTTGCTATAGCCACAATGCCTGAAAAGAAAGACGCCAGTGTTAACGGTAAATAATTATTTACTTCCTCACATCTAAAGTCCTGACAACATCAGCTTTGAGGCTGGAGTTTTCAGGCATTGAGCACCTAACTCCTGCAGGTCCTTTGAAAGTTTCAGCCATAATTCTCTTGACAGCAGAGTTTTAAATAAATCATGAATAATTCCAATCAAAAGGCTTTTGTATCAAATACCAGTTGGGACAGGTCCTAAAGAGAAAATTCTAGTTCTGGTGAAAAGCCTCTATGGATAAAATGGAGGATTAAAGAACTTGAAAGTAGAACACTGTTTTACAGGAGGGTATTCTTAAACTTACTGCTGTGCCACTTTCTTGAAAGTAAAGTCATTTAAAGGCTGATCAGATAAAGCGTCAGATTCTCCACGTGAGAAAACTGAATAGAAAGAGGGACTTTGAGGAGTAGAGGTAATGAACCTGTTAGGGGTTCCTTTTACACCAGATTTACATAGGAACATCTTGATTTAAGTATGTCTTGCCAAAGTAAGAGAGTGAACTGTATAATTGATAACTGAATTGAAATGAAAATCGTCCTTACTAAAAATTACTTCCATTTCAGTTTTGCAAATTACCATCCCAGATTAGACTATGTCTCAAGAATTCACAAGAGTGGGGTCAGAAGTGCTTATGCCTATGCAAGGTGCAATACCTTCGCCCAATGATGAATCCAAACACCATGAAGACCAGAATGATGGTTCCTGCTACAGCAACCACAGCTATGATAATAACAGGATTCTGTTCACTGGAAACAGCCGTGGCTACAAACAGAGCACAAAGCGCAGATTAGTTTAATATTAATCCCCACAAAGGAACTGCAAAAAATTAAGTCAACCATCATGAATTGCAGACAGTTAGTTTACCTTTACCTTTCCCTGAAACTATTACTAATCTAAAGAAGGGCTTCCATTGGAAATTCATCCAAATGCTGGATGAGTTAATAATTGTCTACAGGGAATAAAAAGGACCTGTGCTGATTTGGCCAAAGTGGTACAACAATTAGCTGAAAGTCAGCACCAGCACCAGTTATTTCCACTGCCTCCTACTGCTGTGCTGCCTTCTGTTTTGCTCAGTGGTTGACTCCATCCTAAAAGGAAAGATCTGGATATCCCTGTAAGGGGGGACAGTAGGAGAATAATCCCTGAAGAGCTCTGCTTCTAGCCTTCCCTCTAAAACTGGTTGTTATGACTTTGATGGTACCCAAGGAAATAGTGTCTTAAGCATAAGAAGAATGTTTAAGATGAAACACTCTATTAACACAGACTTCCTAGTTAGCATATTTCTATCTCTTACTGCTATTAATCATTATAAATTGCTATTATTACTTATAATTTGTTTCTGTTGGCAATGAAAAGGTACTTACACATATACAAGAGGGAATTCTCCATGCTTCAGAGAATTTACATGAAAAAATATCCAGACATTATCGCTCTTTTTATTCATATATGCCAACGCTATTAACATATGCAAATGTATGCATGTCACATTAGTGTAAACTGAGGATGTAAGTACTTAGCCTGAGAAACCTCAAGGTTTGTTAAATCCATTGCTTGCCCGATGACTAATGAGGGTGGCTGTGTACTCAGTCACATTAAATGAGCACAGCTCTACTGAACTCTGTGGAGCTATGCTGGTTTATAACAGTGAGAATCCAGCCAGCCCAAGAGACCGAGAATGAAGGAGGACACATCAGGCAGTCATGCTGAGCAAAGGACTGTGAAAGTGTGAGTCTTCTGGAAGCAGCAGACAGACAGAAGAAAAAAAAAAGGAAAACCAACTGATAGCTGATTAACTGGATTGTAGATGGTATGTTAATACGCTTAACTGCTGGCAGTGGTAACTGAACAAGAAAGTCTACATGACAATTTTACGAATTCCACAGAATCAGGTTGCTGTTGCAGACTTCAGAGGTTCTCATAGAAACAAATAAACCAGTCTTTTCTTTGCTCTGTTGTGCAAGAGTGTAGGGGCATAAGTAATACAGCTCAGTTCCCGTGATATCATCAGGCCATCAAAACAAACAATCCCAAACAACGTCAAACTTACGTAAAATACAGCATGTCCTAAAACTGTTCCCTTCTCTCTTTGAACTTCAGTGCAAACCTACTTGGAAGTTAAGAAGAGGCAGCATCCTGTTGTAATGGCCAGGGTGCGAAGTCACATCCATCTAACACTCTCCGGAAAAATATCCAGCCTAGCCCGTCATCTAATCTAGCAGCCAAGTTTTGTGCATAGAGGTTGACATATGTAAGTGGGTTGCTCTGCATAACTGCCTCACAGAATTTGGGTACTGGCACATTCTGGAAACAAGCCGAGGATGTTGTTTGGGCTCTGGAAAATACTGGGGACATGGTACGCTGGCCAACTTGTAACATAGGTGGGAAGCATTTTATGATTTTTTTTTACATTTTTTGAAAAAAAAGAAGTTCTGATTGTGGGCATGGACTAGTGTGAATTCAGTGACAGCACCCGAAGACGTTTGACTCTGTTCAGGTACTCTGTGCTGCTTCTCTCTTCTGTGTGATGAACTCAGTCTGTTAGTTTAAGGGTGAATCAGAACCCAACTTCTGGAATGATCACTGCTGCTTAGCAGAAGTAAAGATGCTAGAATGTTCTTAGAGGAATGATTCGGGGTGCAGATGATCCTTTCAGGGGATGCGTGGCATAGTGACATGTCAGTGGTGGTGGCACAATGGTGATGGCAGGGAACCACTAGGAGGATGGGGAAGTCTTCCCTTGCCTCTGCTTAAACTGTGCTCAGACTCCGAGGGCAAGACAGGGACCTGGCACACGGGCAATCAGCTACAGCTGATATCTGATCTGATGCTATGATATTTGCATCTCCAAATGAATGAGGTAATGCATAATTTACAGGGGTTAAAACCACCTTTTAAATACATGATTATAAGGATGGGGAATGGATATCCAAACACTCTGGAGGGTTTAAAAAAGGAGATCAGCTGTAAAAGCTCTACTGCTCCTCCCGTGAATTTTTCTCATGCAAGCAATCTGAAATGCATGATTTGCAGAAACGAACTCCTCATGAATTCCACCAAGAAAGCTTCAATGTCAAATTGGATTCATGTAGGTCAATTAATAGTTTCTTAAATATTATGCTTTATGTCACAGCAACCCCATGCAAAGCTACAGGCTTGGGGAAGAGTGGCTGGAAAGTTGCCTGGTGGAAAAGGACCTGGGGGTACTGGTCGATAGCCGGCTGAACATGAGCCAGCAGTGTGCCCAGGTGGCCAAGAAGGCCATCAGCATCCTGGCTTGTATCAGGAATAGTGTGGCCAACTGGAGGAGAGAAGTGATTGTCCCCTTGTGTTCAGCACTGGTGAGGCTGCACCTCAAATACCATGTTCAGTTTTGGGCCCCTCACTACAAGAAGAACACTGAGTTGCTGGAGCATGTCCAGAGAAGAGTATCAAGGCTGATGAAGGGTCTAGAGAACAAATCTTGTGAGGTGCGTCTGAAGGCACTGGGATTGAATAGCCTGGAGAAGAAGAGGCTGAGGGGAGATCTTATCGCTGTCTACAACTACCTGAAAGGAGGTTGTAGTGAGGCAAGTGTTGGTCTCTTCTCCCAAGTAACAAGCAACAGGATGAGAGCAAATGACCTCAAGTTGCAACAGGGGAGGTTTAGATTAGATGTTAGGAAAAATTTCTTTACTGAAAGAGCGGTCAAGCATTGGAACAGGCTTTGCAGGGAAGTGGTGGAGTGAGCATCCCTGGAGGTGTTCAAAAAATGTGTAGATATTGCACTTCAGGACATGGTTTAGTAGGCATGGTGGTGTTGGGGTGATGGTTGGACTTAGAGGTCTTTTCCAACCTTAACGATTCTATGATTCTACATCTTCTATAGTAGTAGTGGTATTTCAGACATCAGGAATAAATTTTACATCTGCATATTACTTGAAACTTGCTGGATTTAAAATGATTCATGGCAAAAGAAAAAAGCAAAGTCGTCTTCATGCCGGGTTGTGCTGAGTTCTTTTACTTTAACAGTGAGAGCCGTAACAAGTGGCAAACTCCCTTCAATTAAAAAAAGCACAGGATCACCCTTAGATCCACTGGCTACAAGTCATTTAACATAACTTTTAAAAACTTCAGTGTTTCAAAAGACAAAATTATCACTTAAGCAATATTCTATGCATTTATTGTTTCTTCCTGAGGGACTTCTGTCTCTAATAACCAGTGTGATTGTGGCAAAAAAAAATACAATGATTAAAGTACTTGACCTCTGGCAAACACAGTACAGAATAGAAATATCCTGCCTTTATAAAGCATTTTTACTTAATAATTTTGAAATTTATACATAAATATATACGCAATGCCCAACAAGTATGATATGTGCAAATACAGGTATAATATACGTATCTTTTACATATCAGAAAAACTAATGGACATAGTTCCTCAAATATTGAAAAGTGGCCATGAAATTTCTATCACAATTCAGAAACCAGGGCATAATACAAAAATCTGCTTAATCAACAGCACCAACCAACCAGTTGAGATGCCTGGAGAAAGTCAGGTAGGCAACACGGCTAGCTGACTGTGATGGTCACTATGTACAGAATCATAAAATAATTTGAGTTGGAAAGGACTTTAAAAAGTCACTAGTTCAAGCCCCCTGCAACAAGTAGGGACATCTACCACTAGACCAGGTTGCTCAGAGCCGTGTCCAACCTGACCTTGAACTTTTCCAGGGATGGGGCATCTACCACCTCTCTGGGCAACCTGTTCCAGTGCTTCACCACACTCACTGTAAAACATTTCTTCCTTATATCTAGTCTAAATCTACCCTCTTTTAGTTTAAAACCAGTACCCCTTGTCCTATCGCAACTGGCCCTGCTAAAATGTTTGTCCCCATCTTTCTTCTAAGTGACCTTTAAGTACAGAAAGTCTGCAATAAGGTGTCCTCAGAGCCTTCTCTTCTCCAGGCTGAAAAACTTCAACTCTGTCAGCCTTTCCTCACAGGAGAGGTGCTCCTGCCCTCGGATCGTTTCTGTGGCCTTCCTCTGGACCATCTTCAATGGGTCCATGCCTTTCCTGTGCTGAGGGCTCCAGGGTTCCAGAGCTAGACACTGTATCAGAGCAGAGCGAAGGGGCAGAATGACCTCCCTCGACCTGCTGGCCACACTACTCTTGATGGAGCCCAAGATACAGTTGGCCTTCTGGCCTGTGAATGCACATTGTCGGCTCATGCCCAAATTTTCATCCACCACTACCCCCAAGTCCTTCTTGGCAGGGCTGGCTTCCACCACCCTCAC